CTTGCCTATGCCCACAATCAATCCCACCATGGAGACAAATTTGAGTCCCGTTCTCGACGCTGCATGTTCCTTGGCTATCCATTTGGCCAAAAAGGATGGCGCCTTCTCGATTTGGACAATAATAAAATATTTGTCAGCCGAGATGTCAAGTTCTTTGAAAACCATTTTCCCTTCCATTCACAAAATACCCCCAATCTCACAGAACCTGAACCCACTGCTGATTTTTTTGAGGAAGAAATACGCAGTGAAGAATCAGCCACCCAGACGGTCGAAACACTGGACCGTTCTCAGGACCCCGGTCGACCGTTGCTCCAATCCAATCCAGAAAACCCTACAACATCAGAACCAAACAGCCAACCCAATGACCCAGTCCAACCTTCTTCTGCCCTTGATAACCAAACCCTTCCAACCCAAGACACTTTGCGCCGAAGTGAAAGAGAACGTCGTCCTCCTTCGCGAATGCGTGACTTTGTCACTCACACCATTCAACGTCCCTCTCCTGATTCACTCAAACCAACAACACCTTCAGGTACAGCACACTGTATTACAAATTTTATTAACGCTGACAAATTTTCTGTTTCCCATAGATGTTTTTTGGCAGCTATAAGTGCAGATGTTGAGCCTACTGAGGCGGTCAAAAATCCGCTATGGGTACAAGCTATGAAGGAAGAAATTCAGGCGTTGAAAGCTAATGGTACTTGGTCACTCGTCCCCTTGCCTCCAGGAAGGAAAACAATCGGATCTAAGTGGGTCTACAAAATCAAACACAAGTCTGATGGTAGCATTGAACGTTACAAAGCTCGTTTGGTAGTGCTTGGCAATCGTCAGAAAGAGGGAATTGATTTTAAAGAAACTTTTGCACCAACAGCTAAATTGGTTACCGTTCGCACTCTCTTAGCTGTTGCCGCTGCCCGGAACTGGTTCTTACATCAGATGGACGTTCATAATGCATTTCTTCATGGAGACCTTTGCGATGAAATATACATGACTCTTCCCCCCGGGTTTGCCTCTCGCGGTAAAGGATTGGTTTGCCGTCTTCATAAATCTCTCTATGGTCTTCGACAGGCTCCACGTTGTTGGTTTGCTAAACTCACCTCTGCATTAAAACACTTTGGGTTCCATCAATCCAATGCTGATTATTCTCTGTTTACTCTTTTGCGCGGCACCATCGAGCTCCGTGTGCTGGTGTATGTGGATGATCTTGTGATCGCAGGAAATGATGAAGGCTTCATTGGCAAATTTAAACGGTATCTATCTGATTGCTTCCATATGAAGGACCTTGGTCTCTTAAAATATTTTTTGGGCGTTGAGGTTGCCCGAAATTCGAAAGGGATTTTCATATGCCAGCGCAAATATGCTCTGGATATACTTTGTGAGACTGGATTTCTGGGTGCTCGTCCGGCTTCCACTCCCCTTCCTCAGAATCAACGACTGGCTCTAGCGTGTGGCCCGCTTCTCACCAACCCAGAGCGTTATCGCAGACTTGTGGGGCGCCTCATTTATCTCACGATCAGTCGTCCTGACTTGGCTTATGCTGTTCATGTGTTGTCTCAATTCATGGGGGAGCCGCGGCAAGAACACTGGGA